CATGGTGCAGCAGCAATCTTAAACAGAAACATTCAAAATTAGTTACATGGCCGGTATACACACGACCAAGGGCATCTGATGATTTTACACCGGGCCAAGTTTCAACAGGCGCGACTTGAGTACGGCGTTTCCACTCCTTCCTAGATGTGTTCCAAGTATAATAGCGGGAGTCTTCAGAATATAACAACGTTTTTGCAAAGTGGTCGGTTTGACAAAGTTGAAAGAAGGCTGTTAGTGTAGTTTTAGGCGGTGATGCAATTCTTTCTTGGAAATTTCTTTCGGTGAAATATATACGCTCTCCATTTTCTAAGTACACAGCAAGATGAATAACTGTTGGGTGCCTTTCGTGTAAAGGGAAGCCAAGGAGACGCCACGCTGCCTCGTTACTGCTGACATAACGCCCTGCTTGAAAGGTCTGTACTTCATTAACGGGATTTGCCTCACCTTCACTCCTGAGATTAAATATTGCTTAGTCGCTTCCTTAATTTATGTACTTACAGATATACTTGATTGCGCGGACCGAGCTACATGCTTCTACATTTGTGGGCATTAAACATTTTACATAGAATGGGCGAATACGGGATAATCCAGCTGTTATCTAAGGTTTCGAACGCTCCAGAGCGAGATTTGATTGTAACTTTCCTGCCACCATCTTCGGGAGCTCTGCGTCTTTATAAAGGGTAGCCATTGTCATTGTGCACTGTTTCTTTTAATAGCTGTTTAAGGAATTTCTTTGTACATTTTCCTTCTTTCATACATGGCGTGAATCATATTTCGGGCGATGGTATCATACAATTCTTTATCTTGCTCAGGATCCGGAATCTCGGCGCTTATTATGTCGTCTATTTGGCTGGGCCGCAACTTCTCTTTAAGCCATATTAGAATGTCGGCATGCGGTAATCCCCTTTTTTGCCATTCAATTGAATACATGAAGCACTGCACCTCTACGAAAATTTTCCCTTTGTTAATTACATACATTCATGATTTCTTATATTTACGCGAACACTACACATTGATTAAAACTACTTTTACGGATTTTATTTTATTTTTAATTACTTTTATTTTTAATTCCCGACGTTTCGGGTGCTTTCCAGCACCCATGGTCACGGGGGACTGAGATGACTGACGTCCCGATGTCATTGTTAAACCCGGAGTACCTTCAGCTTTTTTAATTTATTGTTTATGGTCCGATCTATGCAAAATGAACTAACTATGTCCTGAGTTCTTGCAGTGGTATGCTTGGGTTTAGTTTCAATTTTATTGATTATAGGATCCCAAGCAGGTGGTAGTACCCAGCCTCCTTCTCTATTGAAATTAGGATGTTTTTTAATTTCAATAGCCTCACGTATCATCTTTGGTAGGAATCGGTGTTCTTTCGCGAGGATTTGTGCTCTATCAAATCTGATGTAATGGTTGGGGCCGTCTAGGATAAGATCGCAAACTGCAGACTTCCCAGAACGTTGATGCTTCACATCAGCTATATGTTTTTTTACACGGGTTCTAATTGATCTTTTTGTTTGTCCTATATAAGAGAGACCACATTCACAATCAAGCTTGTACACTCCTGCATCTTGTAGAGGAATATGACACTTGACGGATGGTAGGAACTGACTAATCTTCTTCGGCAGCTTGTAGAATGTTCTAATAAAAGCTCGCTTCAAGATGTGGCCAATCTTGTCTGTGACACCTCTGACATATGGTAGTACAGCAGGCACACGCTCGACTGTGGCCGACTTCGTTCGGTCAGTGTGACGTAGGCGCGGGACCCGAAGTTTGTTGTCGTGCAGAACTTGCTTGACGTGCTGAAGCTCGGCGGCCAGGTGTTTGCTGTCACAGATCCCTCGTGCTCTCTGTAACAAAGATTTGCCCACGGTAGCTAACTATGAAGGATGGTGGTGAGATTCACCGTTTAAATATCGGTTTGTATGGGTCTTTTTCCTATACACAGTGTGACCAATGGTGTTGTTAGGATTTCGGATGACTAATACATCTAGGAAAGGTAAGGAATTATTTGCCTCTAACTTCATAGTAAATTGAATTTTTGAGTTTATGGAATTAAGATGTTCTAAAAATGCAGTTACTTTGTCTGATGGTAAAATTGTGAAAGTATCGTCTACGTACCGCTTGTAGATCCTTGGTGTAACAGGTGCAGTAAGGATGGCTTTCTCCTGTTCAAATAGCCTTTGCTGACTTTGAGCAGGTGTTTCAGTAGCTCTTAAAGTAGATTGACGCTCTGCCTGTTCAAGACGCCTTTGTTGACTTTGATCAGCTGTTTCAGTAGCTCTTAAAGTAGCTTGACGCTCTGCCTGTTCAATACGCCTTTGCTGACTTTGAGTAGGTGTTTCAGTAGCTCTTAAAGTAGCTTGACGCTCTGCCTGTTCAAGACGCCTTTGCTGACTTTGAGAAGGTGTTTCAGAAGCTCTTAAAGTAGCTTGACGCTCTGCCTGTTCAAGATGCCTTTGCTGACGTTGAGAAGGTATCTCAGATGCTCTAAAAGTAGCCTGACGCTCTGCTTATTCTTGCCTTCTCAGTTCAGCATCTAAGATTGTAGCGATCGAGCTAATCTTTTCGCTTGTCTTTGTGAAGATACTCTTGAAAGGCTGGACTTACATTTGCGAGGCATTACGAAGTAACAAAAAACCTATTTATAAAAAACGTTAAAATACCTAAAAGGAATTAAATTTCCTTTTAAATATTTTTTAAAATAAAAATAAAATATATAACTAAAGCTTATTAATAAGGCTTACTAAGAACTGTTTCTACCACAGTTAAGTTAAGGGTGAAAGCGTGACAGGTGGTGATAGTATTTCTGATCCTTACTTATAATCACGCCTGTAATCCTTGCGGGGTAGGCAGAGCATCAACGGATTACTTAATATCGTCTGCGAGGTTATCGCCTATTCTGTGAATTACAATGCACCAAAACGTTTGAAGAAAATCAGCTGGTGAATTTTATGTTTTATATCGCTCTCTTCCCGGTCCTGCGTGGAAAAATACAGATCCATACATTTTTATCTTAATTTTGGTAAAAAGACATAATAATCTAGATATTCTGACCTTCTGTGTTCGTCCATCGTACCGTCGTCCGTCTTGTAGAATCACGGTGGCGCTGCCTAGCTGAATTTAATTTTGCAACATATTCGATTTTCCCACGGGAATGAGATGTTTTTCCGCGGAAAAAAAGTCTATGTCACTCTACAACCACCTAACTATCCCCATACCAAAATTCATGCCATACCGACGCTCTGTTGCGACGTGAAAGAAGGACAAACTTTTCAAACATATTCTGTTTTCCCATGGGAATGACATGTTTTTCCGCGGAAAAAAGTAGCCTATGTCACTCTACAGCCACCGAACTATCCCCATACAAAAAATCATGTCATGCCGACGCTCTGTTGCGACGTGAAAGAAGGACAAACAAACAAACAAACAAACACACTTTCGCATTTATAATATTAAGTATAGATGGGAAGAGGATATGCAAACTTTTTCTTCAAATACCGAACTTTAATTAATGTAGTGATTAACAACGTGACTCTAACAACCGAGTGATAGCGAAAAATTTATCAAAAATCCTAAAAAATATCAATATAATGGTGATGACTTGAGCCTCCCAAGTGCTTAAAACAGTGCCTAGTTTACGCAGTGTTGGAACATAGGCCATGAAATCTTCCATTAATGTAAGGCATAATGTTCTAGCATTACCTTGTTTTAAAGGGAGTAAATAAAGTGATGACTTATGGATCTGAGACGTGGTCCTTCACTGCTGGCCGTATGAGGACGCTCAGGGTCGCTCAACGAGCTAAGAAGAGGGCTATGTTTTTCTGCGTGATATACTTAGAAGTGAGGATATCTGCAGTAGAACCTGATTAACCGATATAGCCCAACCCAACGAATTAGTAAGCTGAAGTGGCAATGGGTCGGCCATATGGCTCGAAGAACCGACAACCGGTGGGGAAAAAAAGTTTCCGAGTGGCAGCCTCGTACCGCTAGACGTAGTGTAGGGCGGGTCCCGACTAGATGGAGTGGAGACCTGGTAAGACATGCAGGAAGTCAATGGATGCAGGTGGCTCAGGACCGTGCTTTGTGGCATTCCTTGGGGGAGGCCTATGTTATCAGTGGACTTGTGAAGGGCTGTAATGAGGATGACGATGATAGTGAATAAAAGTAAATAAAGCGTTTCATTTTATAAAACAAAAGTAACTAATGAACTTAAAAGCCTCTGAAGACTAAGATGAAATGCCCGACAGCCTGTATCTATACCCTTCAAACTGGATCACAACAGTGCAAACATTGCCATTTGGCAGCAGAAAGTAAGGGGTTGGTACTTAACCAGATGGACTCCTAGGCAGAAAAGAAATCCTACCGCTCCCCCACATATTTCCTTTTCAACGTAATAATATATATAGCATTTTTCGGATATTTAAGCTTTTATGAACATCTCACGGAATAGTGTAGCTTTTATCTTTTTTTATAGAAGGGTTACAAACGAGCACACAGTCCACCTGATGGTAAGTGGTTTCTGTGGCCCATAGACATCTACATCTATCCACGAGTACGAATCAAAATGCAGATGCGTTGTCACCCGTGAGGACTAAGATGGACTACGTCCTTTCCGGTAAAAAGGGTCTCCGGTTCTCTATTCTCACCATACGAAACACAGCAGCATTAAGCTGCTATTTTACGCTTGTATTCTGTGGTTCCTCCCCGGTCGAGCCGACCCATTCGTGATAAAACTATACTACTAATATAGCTGCAGCATGGCTCTACCACTTTAAATTTTAAAAGAAACTCATGTCTGTATTTGAATAAGTGCATGTTATAACTCTATCGAATTTTCATCATCCATATGAAATAATATCTGAGAAAATGTCAGACAGGCAGACAGACAGACAACGATGTCATAGAAGCCATAATGTCCATTCTTGGGTGCGCTATTATACTAAAATTTGATCGAATGGTTTGTACATATAAAAATTTGTATGTTAACTATATTTCAGCCCAACAATCTCACTTACGAGAGCGTGACGGTGTTTTGTCCATCGGAAAGAGTAGAACTAGTCGATCTGTTGTCAACTGAAGATATCCTGCTGGACCTTAGCCAGCCGCTGTACTTGAACTTCACACATGAAGCGATCGTGAACCGATTCGAGAAGTACTATGAGGCTCACGACAAAATCGCTGGCGATGTATACGTATGCGACAACCCGCCGGAAGACACCAGCGCTGACGAGTAAGTTTTATATAAAATTAAACGGTAAAATAAAACGATTACATTTTTTAAGAAAAATAATTTATTCATACTAACACATTGTTGCGACTTACAGGACAACATCTTCCTCATAACAACTGAAAATAATACAAAAAACTACAGTTGCCAACCAACAACTAGTTGCCGCGCTTTTTAACGTTCTTTTTTACCTAAGCTAAAATAGAATCCGTTATAAATTGACCGAGCCCATAAAAACAAATTGATCGCTTGATTTGGAAAGCCGAAAACTATACCACACATACATTCAATTTCAAATGCTAAGAAAAATGCCGGTGTGTGGATTGCGTCAAATCAGGCCGTAATATAAAATATAGAAATAAAATAATTTCAAACACTAAGTAAAATGCCGGTGTGTGTATTGCGTCAAATCAGGCCCTTTGAAATGTAAAAATAAATATTGATGATGGAATATTTTTGAAGTGGAAACTCTTTAAAATCGTTGGTATCTGAAACACAATGAAAAAAAGCGACACTAAAAATAGACAAATATTTACATCTATAGAATTAATCCAGCGATAGAATGAGCGAATTGTGCGAATTACGATTAATATAACTTTTTCTGTCAAAATAAAATAAACAGTTAAAAATTAACAAGTTTATTAAATAAATAAAGTTAATAATGAACAAAATTATTTTAACCAATCCCTTCATAACAATTCACGATTTCATAACTTACCGATTTATATTAAATTAGTCGTGTGTAAGGCCATCTAGCGTCTATTGTAAAATAGACCTTCAGAGTCGATCAATTTCTTTTCGATAAAATGACTTTACCAATAGAATGAAGTAGATTTTCCGCTATTACAAAACAATTTTGCTCGAAATTTTCCGAAGCTTTCATTTCAACGGCGTAAGAATTGCACACGTTCTTTATTAATAATACCTTTTTTGACAGAGTAGTACGTATAGTGAACTTTATTAATAAAACTATATAATAAGATAATGAGTGATTGCTACAGACCGCACTAAAATTAAGTGCCTTTTTAGTAGTGTTACCCAAAATCGGTCTTGATCTTGCAGTCTTGGTCTTGTTCTTGCATTTTTGCAAGACTAAGACCAAGAACAAGACCGCCTAATTTTAGCAAGACCAAGACTGTCCGTGCAAGATTTGAGCAAGAACAAGACTGAGCCTGTGTGACTCTTGCTTCTTGCAGTTAGGAATGAGTGTCATTTCAGGGAGTATAGGAGTTCGGGTATACGCTTAGGGACTCTATGAGACGCAAAAAATATATTTAAAAAATTTGGAAAATTGGACTTATGCGCATTACGAACAATACCATAAACATACATAGCGGATGAAAATATCCATTAAAAGAAAGAACAGTGCATCCCTAGTTTTGACCATCGGCACTTTGATAGTGCGCGGCGTCTTGTTGTCGGCATCATCAAAGGTCGAATACTGACCTGTGAAAGACATTTTGCAGCTATTCGGAAGTACAAGGTCAAGATACACGCGCCGGTGGCTTTTATTGATATCGCATTCAATCGTCGCCGCCGCGCCGCATGCACTACATTTGACACTGTTTGAATGCCGCCACAAAGTACATGTTCCAAAGAATAAAATAAGTTTCCGGATGCTCAGAATGGACACAAATACATTATGCTGATCTCGCAAGGAATATTGTAATTAGGTAATGGTAAGGATAGGTAGATACCATAATAATTTATTCTAGTAAGTAATTATTATAATATTAACTATATGGGTTTATAATAATTACTTACTATTATTATTATTACCTAATAGATAAACATGTTCAATAAGTTCACTGCAAATCTCGATTTTTGGAAGTGTGTGATTTTGAACACAAAGTGTTCGAATATCTCATCAACCATTTGATAAATATTTTAGACACTTTTAACACACTTGAAACGTGTAAACATTTTGTACAATGCTAATCGAATAATATAAAATGTGTGCATATTAAATAAAAAGTGTAAAATAAGATCTATGTACTTTTTAGGAGCCCGAGTATCTCTTAGAGAACCGTTTAAAGAAATTGATTGCATCGAATTGATGTAAATAATAGTGATTTGCACAATTTTAATAGTAGAAATAAAAATAAAATCACAATACCTGCTTTCCGGTTACACAAAGTTTTTATGCGTTCTTGGGTAGCGATATACGCTTTTATAATAAGATTCCAAAATAAATGTTAGATCTTTCACCTTTTCAATTTAAGTCAGACAAAAATGCTTGGAACTGACCTCTCGTACTACACAGGACTAACTAGAAATTTCTAAACCGATTTGGTATCTACGTATACATTTGACATTTTATGTTTGACTTATCGCTTTACATAATTATAGAACTATTGTAAAAATATTTTGAAAAGAGCAACTACTGAGTTTCTTACTTTCTTCCATAATTCTTCTCAGTAGAATCAGAACCCCTGGACATGGAAAAGAAAAAATTGGGGAAAACAGTGATTATATGACTATTCATAAGTATATTTTTAATGCCTACTTGAATAAAACATATTTGAATTTTGAATTTCAAACGAGTGAAGGCAAATGTAATTTAATTAACGTAGATTAATTCAATCACAAGAAGAACATAATATACACAATTTTATTTACATATTTACTTTTCATTCTTACGTAGGCACACTATACCTATCTGGCAACGCATCTACTTTATTAATCTTCTGAAGAATCATTAATTTTATCAAAGGATGGCGAACTTTCCTTTGTCGGTCTTTCGGTGTGTACTTACAAATAGTAGTATTTATTTTAATTCCAGTCATTCCCAATTGAGCTTTGCTTCGAATCTAATGTATTAATTGTTTTTACTCTAATCTTTGTTGTTCTCGGAGTGATAAGTTTACAATTTGACATGAGTGATGAAGAGTCGATTAGTTCTAGTCGGAGTAGTGAGAGTTGAAGTTATAGATCTAAAAGACCTAAAAGTAAATTTGTTGAGTTTTTCGACATAATTCATGCATCCCAAATTGCTTTGTGTAAATAATACCAACATAAAAAGGTTGAAATAAAAATGAAAAACAGAAACACATCAGGCTTAAGGAAGCATCTAATATCTTTCCACAAAAAGGAATCACAAATATTTCTTCCTGAAAAACCAAAATTAAGTGGAGATATCATAAGCTTTTTAATAACCACCGGAAAAAGTGGACAGGTAAGAAAAAATATACTTATCACACAATTACATAACACATATATTATGTAACTAGCGGCCGCCTGCGACTTCGTCCGCGTACAATATCTGATTTCCTATGAGATTTTGAAATTTTCTCGTTGCAAAAGTCTTAGCTAAGTATAAAGAGGTTATATAGGTAAAGCTTAACTATGCAAGTATTTATTATTTAAAACTAATAAAGTAAATGTCGATCTTCATATCTATACTTTAAAAATATAGGACTTGCCATTTTACCCCAATTTCACCCCCTTAGGGTTAGGATTTCGTAAAACAGCTTGTCCAGGATTTTATTATTGAAAACTTATAACTTTAATGCCGATTTTCGTGTCTCTAACTTCAAAAACGTAGGACTTTCATACAACTTTCCAACTCCCATTTCACTCCCTTAGGGATAGATTTTCTCAAAACCGTTTCTTAACTGATCTCTGTGCCATAAAAGGAACCTATCTTACAAACTTCAAGTTTGCATGTTTTATAGTTCCTGAGATATCGTTATAGTCAGTCAGTGAGTGGTAGTTATAAATGTATATATATATATATATATATATATATATATATATATATAGATTATAGTGTTAAATATGTATTTATAATTCACTCATATTTTCATTTGTTTTTATAATCGGCGAGACACATGATTTACTGTTTTATTTCAGTCTGAAAATAGAAGTGACAACATCACCACAGCTACAGTTGATTGGATGGTTAAAAAATATCTTCCCTTCTCATTTTTCAATGACGAAGCTACACAAGTATATTTTCGATCAATTTACCCAAATATGATGGTTGTATATTAAAAAAAAACTGAAGGTAGCCGCACTAACTATGACATTGGGACGTCAAACATCTCAGTCTCCCCCCGTGAACATGGGTGCTGTAAAGCACCCGAAATGTCGGGATAATAATAAAATTAAATTAAAGTAATAAAACGCGATAAAATCCGTAAATAATAGTTTTATTCAATGTGTAGTGTTCGCGTAAATTTAAGAAATCATTAAGTATATTTTCGATCACTTTGCTCAAATATGGTGTTTCCTAAAAGGTCCATACTTAGAAGGAAGGTCAAAGAACGGTTTGAAGAGCTTCAATTGAATCTTAAGAAACGACTACAACAATTTTCATCTAAAATGTCATTTACCATTGATGGATGGACGTCAATTGCTGGCAGGAGTTACTACGGGGTCAATATTCATTATATAGACAACGAATGGAAGTATCGATCTTATATAGTCATTGATTTTATACCATCACGCGGTCGACATACTGGGTAAGATATTGCAACGATTTTCCACGAATGTTTATTGGAATATGACATAATTGATAAAATACAGGGTATCACAGTCGACAACGCAATTGCAAATACCAAATTTATGTATGAATTTGACAAACAGCTGCCACACTTTGATTGAGACATTTCCGGTGCTTTGCTCACATTTTGAACCTTGGTGTACAAGATTTATTAAATACCTTAGCATTACACAGTGAAACTGACAATAAGGGACAAGAACAGCAGTATGAAGATAATGAAGACGAAACTGAGGAAGATGAAGAATATGCGCCAAATATTGCTGACTCACGTACAGCTATAACAAAATTACGCAGTATTTCCAGTAAAATAAAAAGAAGTGATATATTGAAGAGGAAGTTTCGGTCTGCTAGTGAAGCAGTTGGCGTACCATCAAATCTGAACCCCATACTCGACTGTCCAACGAGATGGAATTCCACACATGATATGATTGGATTTGATTTAAAAGTGAGAACTGGCGTTAACATATTGTGCACTTCTGTCACCGAATTGAATGATTTTCAAATCACAGATAGTGAATGGCAAATACTCGAAAAATACATAAGTTTCTAATAAACTTTAAACTTCTATCAACGAAACTTGGTGGAGAAAAATATGTTACACTACCGCTAGTCATTGTATCATTCAATCTCTTGCTCGATAAAATTGAATCCATGGTAAAACAACTAGATGAGAAACCTAATCGATCCGAAATGGATGAAAGGGTTTTCAAGCAGCTCGAGACAAAATGCTTAAACATTATAAAAAGAGCAACTGGATTTATTGTACCTCTTTAATTTTAGACCCAAGGCATAATACTCAGACTTTTGACATGACATTATGGGGGAAGCAAATTAAAACAGAAAGCCTGCGCAAATTTAATGAACTTTATAAAGAATATAAAAGTCTACACTCAGTGAATACATCTCTAGAATCACCAAGAAATGAAAAGAAAGTATGTGAATATGATGAAGATGAAGACGTAATAGACTTTGAGAAATTGTATGCATGTCCCTCGACGTCATCTGGATTTGGATCTTTTCATCAAGGCTTAGTTATAGACGATTTGTAGGAGTACCTAAGTAAACCCAGAGCCGCCAGTTCGGAAGACATTTTGGAGTGGTGGAGGACGCATGAGACAGAATATCCGACTTTATCGAAGATGTCCGGTGATTTTCTTTCAATACCAGCAACTTCAGTACCTGCTGAGAGATTATTTTCTAATGCATCATTAGTAATTAGAAAACATAGAAATAGGTTAAGTGATGAGTCAGCCAGATGGTTACTTTGTATTAATTCTTGGTCAAAAGAATTAATATAAAGTAACAGTAATGTCAAAGCTGTTGTGTACTGTTATGTAATTTAATTTGTATTGTATTTTATTTTTTTTATTTAAATAAATGGTAAATTGTATAACTCTTTTACTCCATTTCATATAAGGGTCTATCAATCTCTTTCTAGACAGATAATGTTCTTTATAATACAGTCAAGTTAATGTCATTAATTTGTTTTTTATATGTTTTGACTAAGTTTTAGCACATGTAAGCTTATTAAATGTAAACGTTTATTAAGAAACAGACTAACTCCCGTGGCCGTGAGACTTGGTAGACAGCTCAGTTGGTTAGAGCATCGGCACGGATCGCTTAGGTCGTGGGTTCAAGCCCCACCCGGTATTAGTTGATTTTTCGAATTTCTCATTAAATGTTTACACATTTATTAATTTGGTTGCTCTTTCTATAGCTATGTTTATTCAATCTCAAAATGTGCCTACTCTGTTAAGTTGTTCTAAGATCTAAAGTAACGTTTAATAAATAACAATAGGCTAATAGGTAATTGCGAGTCTTGCGAGACTCTTGCTGCAAGACCAAGACCAAGACTGAGAGCGCAATACCAAGACCAAGAACAAGACCAGGTGTATTGGCGCAAGACCAAGACCAAGACTGGCTAAGTCTCGTCTTGTTCTTGCATTTGGGCAACACTACTTTTTAGGCAATTAATTTTAGTGCAGTCTGTATTTTATTTGTTACATTCACAGACTACCACCGGACGTGGAGCTAGTTCGCCTGCAGCCGGAGCACATGAAAGCGGTGCACGACTTGTATCCGGCAAGTGATATCGAATGCCGTGAGGTCTTCGAGAAGCTGGTTGCCGAACTACCTGCATACGGCATCTTTGTGGAAGGGAAACTGGCCGCTTGGATGGTTCAGTCCTACTACGGAGCTATGTTCTCCATGCAAACAAGACCAGAATTCCGAAGGAAAGGTTACGGGATATATCTAGCCAGGCGTCTGACCAAGGAAGTCGCCGCCCGCGGCTATAAGCCCTTTGTTGTGATTCGTCCTGAAAATGACGCGTCCCGCTCTCTCTACTCCAAGCTGGGCTTCGAGAAACGTTTTCGGACGGTGCGGGCCGTTTTGCACCCCCGCTAAATCAACGTTATTCTCTAGCAGATTTTATTTTTTTAAGACTTTTGAAAAAAATCAATTTAGCTTGCGATCTTTGATCGTTTAGAACTTTAGTATTAGTAGCTTAAGGTTGGTTCGGCTAGTGTTCTCGGTCTGCGCTATAAAAAATCTACGCCATTTTACGTATTATTAGTTGACTATAAAAAACTTTATTAATTATACCCAATATACTGAAGTTTAATTAAAAAGTAAAAAAAAATAATATTACGTCTTGTTAAATATGCAATCATTGCGGATTTTTTAATTTAACTTTAAATTCTGCAGATTCGAGAGCGAGAGCTGTAGCCGTTCGCTGAGTCCGTGTACCAGCATAGTTACTGATCTCAATGATACTAACGTGTCAAGAAACCAATCGAAGCCAAGTTATTTTATAACTCAACTATTGGGATAATGTTGCAAGGTTGGAATATTTCTTGACATTGTTTTATGTCATTTAGGTAAACGCTTTATCAACACTTGTTGATCGAGCGGAATCTTGTCTGTCTCATGGTTTATGAAATTACTGGGACCCGTTATGATCTCGTGTGATAAAAAAGTATAGTGTAAACGCATTTAGAAAATACATGAGAAAGTTAGTTACCGTAACTGCACTCGAAATGCACAATAATTCAAAGAAAAAATAGATTTCTCGTGCACCACTTCTATCAGCCTCAATATACAACAAAATAAGTAAAAAAAAATTATGTATATTCTTTCGTTATTTACATACTTATAATTTGTTTTGGGTATGAAACAGCAAGCGGAATATATTTATGTAAGGTACCTTAAAGCGCATTTTTTACTTAATCAGTGCAACAAAAGATGTCCATAAAATGCGTATTAGAAGCAACGTTGATTTTATTGGTGTAGAAAAATATATTGTATGATGTAATTTGCTATTTAAGAAAGAAAAGATGTATACGAACTGAAAACTACTATGCAATTTTTCGAATGGTTTACGACTTCCTGAAAGATTTTTGATTTTATTAGATAATCTCAGTCAAAGAATAAAACTTAAAAGCTTTAAGAAGAAATAGGTACATAATTAGTTTTCAGTTTATATAGCTTTTCTGCATACTCAGTTTTGTATAACCATTGTTGGATATTGTGAACCATATAAAATTTGATACGAAAGGTAGATAGGTAGGTATTTTAATATCGGAATCTATTTTACAATTATATATCAAAGTGTGTAGATATTATTTGTACGTTTGCTAAACATGTTACGATATATGGAAAGAAGATGGCTTATGGTGTTTATTTTATCGTTTTGTATTTTTAATATATATTTATAGGAATTATTTCTTAAGAATTGTTTTATAAACTTATTTAGTAATAGCGCCAAGCTAAAGAAAATGTTACGTAACCTATGCTTGTGCCATTTGCCAATATTAATAAGAAAAATCTAAAATAGTGACTACATACAATAAAGCTGAAAACTTAATACCTACGTGCCAACGATTCGTTTCGTTTTAAAAATCTTATAAAGAAATGGTTACACCGATAACAGACAGAAAAAGATTTAATATAGAGATACGATATGAAATTTTAAGCATTCCAAATTGACAATCCATTACACCATTAATAATAAAGTGTCATGTTATTTGCTTTTGAGTAGTATTGACTATTCACGAATCATAATGCCTCTATAAACTATCGGCTAAATGATGGTGGTATAATTGAAGTCATATTCAAATTATGACTAAGGCATGGCTCAGTAAAATCGTAAAAATATTTTTTGTGTTAGTTTTTATAACTTTAGCCAGGTAATTGAAAAACAAAATTTGCTCAACCAAAGGAACTTCCACGATGGTGTTTGTTTTTAAATTGTATTGTCCCCATTTCTTAAAATTAATAATGCCAAATGTATTTGTTAAAATGTCAGGTCTTTTTGTTACTTATGTGTTATTAATTTTAATAGAATAAAAAAATTAAACTGGAAGTTAGGACAGTGATAATTTTGCCATATTATATTTATTTCATTTTCGAACCCTATTAAAAGTACATGGTTTGCTGGCGATACTTTACCATCGAACGTAGCATTAGCCAAAAATGTATAATCATTTCACTAATCCTTTAATGTTTTATAAATAACGAAACGGCAAGTTAACTATCGGCTGTCCATCATTTATCAAAGTATTCATATTGAAAAATGCTTATTTGAGAGTTAAACTGACATCATCACATCATAATCATTTAAAAGGCTTTTCCAATTTCCTACTTTACGAGTAGTTCAAGAATTTCTTGACATTTATAAGTGTAAGAACATTTTTCTGAACATTTCACTTTTGCCTAACGAACGTTAAAAGGACATTTTCCGTCCTCCATTTTGCAGTTGACATAACTTATTGTAACACAATTTAATAATAAAAATAAATTACTGCAGCTACATACATAATGTAGTGTCCATTCTGTATTGTTCATCACTTAATTGCCTTGCAAAGGTATTTAAGAAAACAATAAAAACGATAAACTTCAATATTTTGTTTCATTTTACCTATATATTTATTAATTTTGTAGATATAGTCTCGTACACGATTACGGATAGACTATGAGTATGTATAGATCGAGATACGATATATCGAAAACTCGATATTTTAAAAAATATCAACAGTTTTAGTTTGAACTGATAAGTTAGAATGATCAGTTGAACTGACCGTGTGTGGCGACCATAAGAGTTTAGATACTTTGCACTGTTACGAGGCATCGGATTCGTAATCGAAGGTCAAAATAGGTGCTAAATTGATCACAGCATCCACAAATAATCAGGTGGACTGTGAACTTGTTTGTCACCCTTCTGTGTATAAGAGCAAAGAAGGGTGACAAACAGCAGAGCTCTTGTCATTACTTAACGTTATCCTAAGCAGCGCAATAAGATCGTAAAATGTTTACAACTGATATAGGTACCATTAATAGACTGTGTAACAACTTCGTGTTGCAGGACACACTAGAGGCCGTTTGCCCATACACGATATAACAATGTAAGAGCGACTCAACATTTTGACTTGTATTACCTACTTAAAATTTTGTGTCCCGTTACTCTTTACTTGGCACATGTGAAATATAAAGCCGCATTTACACATTCTCGCGAGTGACGACGGCGAGCGGCGAGTCAAGGCATAAACACAAATATGTTAACGGTGGTTCGTGATTCGCCTCGTGTTTCGCTTCGTCACTCGTGACACTCGTCGGGAGCGGTTTTTTGAACACGAGTCAAAGGGAAAAGAGCAGCGAGCCGAACTAGTGTTTACATATTCGCTTTCTAGTTCATTTCGTAGCAAACGGCCTATCAAGCAACATAAACAAAATGAACTGGACTAACAATACAGTTACGATGTTTTTGGAGCTTTACCAAAGTAAGCCAGTCGTTAGGTATCCAAAGCATTCTCTAGACTAGTACATCAAGCAATTGATACCAGCGAACGGTTTAAAATTTAAGAAAAATTATTTGATTGACTCAGCGAGCTATGGGGAGGTCTATGCTCGGAGTTTCTCTGCGTGATAAACTGAGGAATAAGGATATCCGCAGTAGAACCAAAGTAACCGTCACAGCCCAACGAATTAGTAAACTGAAGTGGCAATGGGCCGTTCACATAGCTCGAAGGACCGATAACCGAAGGGGAAAAAGGTTCTCGAGTGGCAGCCTCGTACCGGCAGACGAAGTGTAGGGCGTCCCCCCACTAGATGGAGTGACGACCTGGTAAGACATACAGGAAGTCGATAGATGCAGGTGGCTCAGGACCGTGCTTTGTGGCATACCTTGGGGAGGCCTATATGCTGCAGTGAACTTGTGACTTGAGAAGGCCTATAATCATGAATGATGATGATCATTTCGTTCCTGATGTTAGCAACAATCGACGTGGATGCACTCGTTTTTGTATAGTTATTTATTGACTTGTTAGACTTGTTATTTCAAACGATCAAATAAATGGTTTTCTGAATCAAGTAATTATGGTTATTATGTTACATATAAACATATACTTATTCGTTGAGCAAACTTTAGAAACTATAGTTAGGGAGGTATGAATACCAAGTCTTGACAGAATCTTGACAAGTACCGTGTATTTAGACGAGTTGGATCCAATTTGTAATCCCAATTTTATATGCTGATTAACGCACCGGCTTCGCACGACTTTTTTCTACATCTCTAATCAAAATCGGTTCAGCCGTTCACAAAGTGAGTCTTTCATACATACAGCAATCAGTTTTTATTTATGTATATAGATTTACAACTTGAGGATAATAAAACAATTGACTATATTCAACTAAGCTTTATCTGCTTGTATGACAATATTTCGAAATCATGAAGTTAAAGCGGGATCTTGATAATGCCGTGTAGCGACGACGTAAAAGAATCCACTTCCTCCTACCATATATATATATATATATATATATATATATATATATATATATATATATTAATTAGAAGATCTAAGACACCATATCCTCCCGTGAGTATCAAAAAAAGATGACAATAAAACAGGTGATAGGCAGTAGTATCTTCCTTACCATGAGTTTGCACTGACGCGATTTTCACAACAAACATGTTTTAAACACTGTTTTCTGTCAATGTATTAAAAAGCGTCTGCATAGTCAAAGAACATGTTGTAATGAAATATGTTTGACAGTTTATTGTACATTACATATTTTATCTATATTATATCTTTATAACTACACAACTTTGGAAACAAATTTGTAGAAATATTGTCATGTTGAAAGATAAGTTTGAATATCTGTTTAAAATTTTACATTGTTTTTGTGAGTGAGAACGCCACCATCGACAAAACATGTTGTGTGGTTTATTTTATGCGATTTGTTTCTCAGTACAGACGTACTGCGATAACAACTCAAAATATGTTTATTATTGGTCTTAAAGTTATAATTTTGAATCAACATGTTTGACCATAGTTGGTGTACAAATATGAAAAAAAATAGAAAATAAAGATAGGTAGCTGTAACAGATAATTAATGAGTTATGACAAAAG